TTCTTGATAGCGTTGATCACTTAACTTTGGTCCAGACATGACTTCGTATAGTGTCAGATATGTTGTATCATTTAAACTGCAATAAAATTCCGAATTTGGCGATGTAGTCAAATCCAAATCACGTACTGTTATTAAACTTATTAATTGCTGTTTACCTATAGTATTTTCTACTAGTGAAAACTCAGTATTTCTCATCTAGGAAAAGAAAAGTAGAATCATTTGAAGATGGACATTCATATATTTCTTTGTTACACTACTAAAAAGGTTTATAACTAATATGCATAATATATGATTACATTAAAATTCACTGCCGAAATACAATGACTAACGGCATATTACTGAACTGTTTTCTGTCTTTGTAGTGTCTTTGTATACGTTGATACGTTTACTCGTTGCTTAAGAGCTCAATAATCAATTTATATATATCTTACGTAGTTTTCCAGCGATTTACCTCTTTTTAAAAATACCCAATAACCTAGCCACATATTAATTGAATATTATTAGTACAATTTTCATAGTTGTAATTTTCACGTTTAATTTTACTAATATATGTATAAGTAGTATTTCATTGCAAATAATAAAATCTGGTTCGCTAACAATTCTGTTTTATTTTGTTACCATTTACTTGATACAGTGAATAAACTGATCATAAATATGTAAGCAGATTTTCATGAAGAAATAACCATCGGGTAAATTGACAAAGTATATTTGTTTCTTAGAATTGACAGCATATTTGATTGTCTCAAGAAGTTCCTTCATCAGAGACTGGACTAAAATATTGTTTTACCAATTACAAACAAACAGTAAGAATAGTGGGAATGTAGAAACTAGGTGTCAAGTTATAGATACTAGAGTGAGACTTTGATGAAGAAGTTATGATTAGACTATTTTGATAGTTTTATGGATCTTGTCCCAGGTATGATACAAAGATTTTTCTAGTTCAATCATTTAATTGTAAATAGAGAAAACAGTAGTTGAATAATAAACATAGGTGAATTACTAATCAACCTACTGATAGTTTTAGTAATCCAACTTCTTGATGATGTTAAAGATGATACGAAGTTAAGGATTGATTGAAATTTAAATCAATCTGATTGACGTCAAGTAGAGAAGCATGAAAATTAAGAAACCTTAAATACTCATTTTGTTTCATTTTACCTCTACCATGAAGCAAACATTGAATATGATTTCTTTGAGCTTTTAGTTCATATATCTAACATCAACCAAATATATGAATATTATGTATCAGCGTTAATTCCAACAGTTCTTCCTAATTTTAAATGATTCTCTAACAAACGTCAGTAAAGGGTTAAAATCTACATAAAACTGACCCAAACGTCTGCAACTTGATAGACGTATCTATAGCTTTAGCAATAGGATAGGTCTATTGTCTACTTATAACCAGTTTTGCCATGAAGAAATATCTAAGATTAGGTATTCAAAATTTGGTTTACATTTTCCGTAAAATAAAACGTTACACTTAGTCTTTGAAGTTGAAGTTCTTTTTGAAGCTTTTTGAGGCAGTCCTTCAAATAATTAGTTGATTATTTACGAAATTAAAACTAAATTTTGAATAAATTGTTTTCTTCTCCATGTTCATGGTTGACTATACTAGTTGATGATTTGCGGTGTTCAGTTATAGCTAATTATAATAAGTTTATATTTTGTACAGCCCCCCTTAAAGTACTAACTCTTCTTTCCTTTATGAAAGCAGTAAAGTTAAGCTTATTTGACGGACGTTTTATTTTTATTTATAGCGTTACAATCATGTCTTTTATCTTGTCTTTATGCATATGTATCTGAATGAAGTTATTGCTTTGGCATCATTTGATTGTTATCATAGTAAACTATTATTGAAATGCCTACATTGTTCAGTAAATAAAATATTCAATTTTTTGTATTAAGGAAAGCGAACTGCTATATTTAACTAAAATTCATACAACTCTCACTACCCTGATCGTCACAACAACCTATTATTTACAACCAACTTAATATGCTCCATTTTTTAACTTACTTCCTAAACTGTAATTTTTATCATTTTATTGTTATTCTGTAACCGTTAGCATTATTCATTTTAATGAATAACTTTTATTGACAATCTATATTTCAAAAACTTTCACTGTAAGGATTATCACCATTTATGTATTTATTTGTTGAAACATATGAAAAATCGTGTAAGAAGGTACCAGCAAAATATGGGCCATATTTTATTTGGTTTGTATGAGGGCTGGAATACTGCCCTCAAACCGAAGCAAGTGGTTTTGTTAAAGGACCATGCTCCCAGCCTTCGGACTAGAGGTCTAACTTTAGAAGACCCAGTTTCATGGTGGCCGGTGACCAACAATAGGTTCAAACGCTATTTGTCCTTCATAGTCCTGAAGTTCATGTGCACAATGGGTTTAGAATCAATATTTTGCAAATCTACCAACACCGTTAAAGCGCCAGAAATTCGCTTTTCGCCCTCTCGATTTCGTAAAATCACCCTACGCCGCAAAAGATCAGTAGTGGCTGCATATGCGTGTTCATGTGAGAGCGTTTCGAGAGTGAAAACTAACTTTCAGCACCCTCAGACGTACCAGGGCTTTTGTGAGCCGAGTTTTCTCATCACCATGGTTTTCAGTCTATTTATTAAATAATATTAAACAATATGATTATCATATTCACCTCTACATTTTCACTAATGTCTTAGCACTCATATGTTTCCCAAATACCTTTGAATACGAGTAAACAATACTATTACTTGAATAGTAATGATTTAATTATTTTTTATTGAGCGGACACACATTATTGTAGAACCACGGTGTGAAACTAAAAAACAAAGTATTTCCATGTCTCTACTCATTTCTCTATAAATGACCCGATGGAATTTTTTTTAATCGTGTACACCTTTTGTTGTAAATCTTAATTGTTTTCCTAGATGATTATAAATAAATTTTATTCATTATTCTTTTTTTGAACAGTGTCTTTTCTATCCTAATTAAATTGGTAACACCAGCGATCTATTATAAACCTTTACGTACAAAATGTATCTTTTGTTCAGTTTACTGATTTTAACTCAAAGACTTACTGAATCTGTAAATATCATCATCATGATTTGACTTGATATTTTTAAGTAGATTCAGCATTACTTAAAATGCCAATGATAAGGTACTTCTTACCTTCATTGTTTTCTTACCCCCAACCATATGCTCCTTCATTGAGAAGCTACGCAAGTATATAAGTAGTAATTGATGTAAAATCTACTATATTTAATTTCTAACGACAACGAATTTAATTATCACTCTTCAGTTGATTTATGATGGGGTCTAATATATTACAATAACTATGAAATTAAAATTACATGATTTGAAGAGTAGATTAATGTTCTTTTTTTGAAGATTCTTCTTATGATCTTAATCAAATCAATCTAATCTAAACCTGAAACCTGTAATTATTTTTTAATAAATATGTAATCAAGTCAAGTTCATTATCAATTGTAACTTACTAAAATCATTGGTTTATGATCATTACAATCTTGCACTAAAAGATGTATCCATGCATCGCTACTTTTACCAGCACCATCAGTTGCTGTTACAATTATAGTTAAATTAGCTTGATTTAAATCTTTCAAACCAAGATCAGTTAAGTAAATATAATCTCCAGAAATAAAAATTCTTTGCCTTAATTGTTCAAAATCTTGTGTTTGATCATTTAAATGATATTTTATCCGACCATAATCACTTTCTGCTTCATCCATATCATTTGCATTTAAACGTAATAATTGTCTTTGATTAGTACATTCAGGAATTTGAAATGTATATTTTACAATTGTTCTACCATGTTCATTATTTTCTATTATTTCATTTGATTGAAATGTAATTCTTTCTGATCCCATAAACAATAAACTACCAGTTGATAATTCTGTTTCTAGTTTATCAGCCCATAATGGTGCGTGATCATTAATATCACGTATTATTATACGTAAAATTATTTCACCTTTTCTTCCACCAGTATCTATTGCAACAAGACGTACTGCATAACGTGATACTTGTTCACGATCTAATCTACCAATAATTTTTAAACATGGTATTATAGGTAATAAATCTTGATTTATTTCTTGATTTAAATTATATGTATAATTAATATCATGTATTCCTTTATTACTCATATCTTCACATTGAATTCTTGATCCTCTAAATTGTACAATTTCAAATAATTGTATTATTTCCATTTGTTTTGTAATTGGATATAATTCATATTTAATAATACCATTTTCAATTGAATCTATATCATTAGCTATTGGTAATGAAATCATTGTACCAATAGGACATTCTTCTTCAATTGTTATTATTCTAGGATGATTATCTTTATCAGATATTTGTGGAAAATACGGTGAATTATCATTGATATCTAATAAGGTTATAATTAATTCAATACATATTAATTCATTGTTATATTTATTATATTCTTCATTATTCATTAGTTCTTCATCTTGATCATGATGATTTATATCATGATTATTCATTTTATATGCAGCTATTAATAATGTTATGGTACATTGTTTATTTGTATATTGTAAATCATTACATATGCGTTCACGATCTAATGGTACATTAAATTTAATAATACCATTAATTGAATTTAAATCAATAATATTTAATAAATTATTTTGATTTCTTTGTTGATATGCTGTTAATAAATTACTACTTATATCTAATATTTCAAAATTCATAATTTTTAAAGTAGTATGTTTATTGAATTCATTCATTGATGTTTTTAATTGTATATTATAATTTCGCATTATATTACTTATATTAATTAAATCTGTATTAATTATTGATGATTCTTTCATGGTTAATAAAATTTGATATGGTTGTGTTAAATTTGTTTGTCTATTATTAATTTCATTCATATTCATTAATTCATTATATATAGATTTATTATAACATGAATGAATAAAATATAATAAAAAAATCAATATTTGTAAATTGTATCTATGTAGTTTCTGTTTTATACACATTTTATAGATTTGAAATAATATTTTTCTTTTTTTTAATTTGTTTCCTGTAAATTAATTGAAATAAACAAAGATTAGTTTCATGCAATTAGTTCCCTTTAATGTAATTTAAATAAAGCAAGAACAAATATTGATACAGAATAGTATGAATTCATAATAGTTCGAGGCTTTTCGTCAGCTGCTTACAAACCAAAAATGTGATAGAATTTTACATTGATATAAGAAATAGTGTGAGACAATTGACATAAATGAATGAAAGATATACAATAATAACTATATATATATGCTAGAACAGGTCACATGTACGTACTAAAGCATATACATTAGAAGAACTGAGGGAAGAGTGCATGTTCGCATTTTTGAGCATGTTCCAAAGAACTTGAGGCTGCAAGGGACCAAGGCTTTCAACAGTGCGATAGCCTGGCATTTACTTGACAGCAGGCATACCATCGACATCCCGCATGCTTTTAAAATTATCAACAGACAAAAAAGCACGACTGCTCTCTGTTTCGCTGAAGCAATCGAGATAAAAAACTTAAACTGGATTTATGTATCCAAAATGAGACACTAATAAACTTATTATTACCCTGGTAATCCAATTTTTTTGTTAATCGGGTTATTTTATTCATTTATTTATTTTAAAATATTTATTTTGTGTTATCTTCCTCACCCATTACCTAATTCTGAAACCAACTTTTCATTCACACATTTCCGCCAACTGATCCTCTTAAATTATGTTAACTTTTCAAATTCTTATCACTGTTTTAATTCCACGAATCCTTTATTACCTCTAAAATTATCACACAATTTATCTTATCTGTCTCTGAACTCCACTCAACTGTTACATCATCCATCCTTAATATTTTCTTGATTATAACACCTAATAACCTCTGACCTGTTCTTGCATATATATATTGTATACCTTTGTCATTCCAGTTATTTACATTCATTTATGTCAATTGTTTCACACTATTTCTTATTTCAATGTGAAATTCTATTACATATTCGGTTATAAGCAGCCGGCGAGAAACCTCGAAATATTATGAATTCATGTTATTCTGCATCAATATTTGTTCTTGCTTTATTTAAATACTGATTTTCCCTTTTGTAATATTAAATATTTCAACAATTTATGTAACGATTACTAAATGAAACTGATTAAATTATCTTGTTTATTTTAATCATTGAGATCATGAATTAATTGACATTAGATCATTATGGAAAACTTGAAAACAATAGATAACCCTTTTGTACTATTGTGTGATTCCTCAACAATGTTCATTTAAGATCTCACTTCTCAAGGTTCTATGATGATCTAGTTTTAATTGACTTATGATCTTAACTCTTGGAATTACTATAATATTCACAAAACTCCCTTTTTTCATACTTCTTAATTTCTTTAAATTATTCATTTTCTACACAGAGTTATTGTTTACCTGTTTTTATTAAATCAGTAGTTGACAGATAGTTCCCATTTAAACATTAAAATTAAAACACGAATTTCAGCGAAGGGATCTCTTTTCAACGAATTTATTATCAGGCTGTACAATCGCATATATATGAAATTCTTTTGATTTTGTAAAAGTACTAATACCGTGAGGTTATAATACTAGATTACGTAATATGAATAATAACAATAACAATGGATTTGGTGAATATAATAAGATGATTAAAATGTTTTTGTCATAATAATTAAAGGTCATAGAGGTGTAAAATTAATAAATATGGTGATATGATGAGTATTCACGAACAAAACAATGAGAATATAAGACATAAGTAAAGGGGGGGAATGCAGTAATAATAATAATAATAATAATAACATTAATAGTAGGATAATCAAACTAATTAAGGCCAAGGTAACGATAACGATAAGACGTACGTCTTTTGTACGCATAGTTCTGGTTTAAGCTCCTGGATGGCAAGAGCTTCGGCTATTTTTAAAAGTTGGATACGAAGAAATCTAGGTAGATTTGAACCTTAAAGTCAATTTGTGGATCTGTTGAATGGTTATAGTCGATTAGGTGTTCAAGTATAGAACTCCTAACTGCTTTCCTTTCACCCTTATAGAACCAAGCAGGAATATGTTCCCGTATCCGAGTTGAAAGCGAGCGCTCGCTACGGCCATTGTACCTTGCTCCACAAAAGCAGGTGATGCACATGTCTTATATTCTCATTGTTTTATTCGTGAATACTCATCATATCACCATATTTATTAATTTTACACCTCTATGACCTTTAATTATTATGGTCCAGTTGGTTAAGCGTTTGCGCGCGAGACCGAAGGCCCTGTGTTCGAATCCCGCTCGCGGGATCGTGGATGCGCACTGCTGAGGAGTCCCACAATAGGACGAAACGGCCGTCCAGTGCTTCCAGGTTTTCAATTGTGATGGTTTAACATCAATCGGTTCATGATCTCAATCAAAAACATTTTAATCATCTTATTATATTCACCAAATCCATTGTTATTGTTATTATTCATATTACGTAATCTAGTATTATAACCTTTTTATTAACTGTGTTCACATTTCCTCACGGAATTAGTACTTTTACAAAATCAAAAGAATTTCATATATATATACGATTGTACAGCTTGATAATAAATTCGTTGAAAAGAGATCCCTTCGCTGAAATTCGTGTTTTAATTTTAAATGAGTAGTTGGTAATAAAATAATTTATTTTTAAATAATAGTAATATATGACTGCACAACATTATCCACAATGATTCGAATTCTGGTTACGGCGTAATGATTTGAAAAATGGTCTCGGATTCGAATTCTATTAATGTAACATTACCGCTCTAGTCAGTTAATACAGTTATGTGTCAGTAGAAATTACTATAAGATCATGTAATCATTTTATTTAAAATAATAGATAATTATTAACAAATAAATAAATTTTTATTATCTTTGATATTTTGACATAGCAAAGGTAATATTCCTATAGTTAAAGATAATATATAGAACTCAAAACAATAGTAAACCAATATTAAAGCCATAATCTTCAATACGAACATCTAGATAGTTCTACTGTAACGAGATAAAAATTGAAGAATTACTATAAGAATCATCAGTGAAGTACAATTATTTATAAATTTCGATAGAGCGATAAGAAGACGGAGATGATTTGAAATTGATCGAAATTTAGAAAAGGGACTAATTGCTTTAAATTATTTATAGACAATTGTTTACGTAAGATATTCAGTGTCGATTTTCCGAATAATATCTGTAATAACCTACTGTGGGTGAGAACAAATCACGTTCCAGTTGAAGATGAAATTAAGAACAAACGCTGGAAGTAGATAGGACATCCATTACGAACATCGTCAAGCTGGATCACGAGTCAAGTGCTAAATTGAAATTTTGAAAGGAAAAGGAAAACAGGAAAACCGAAGGACACATGAAAAGAATGAATAAAAAGTGGAAACAATTGGAAAGGAATATCCCGGATAGAATTGAATAGCGAATGCTGGTGGGTGGCTTATGCTCCTCCATAAGGGTTAGCAGGAGTAAGTAAGTAAATAGATGTGTACGATACATCCATCTTAGGCATGTCAATATGATTTTAGATAAATTATTTTAATGATTATCGACGTATGATTTTGACCGTGTGATATTTTACTGAATAGCGTACTAACGATTTTTTGAATAAATTTAAATCACCGTAAATAGCATACTTTTCTCTCCTCTTTAAAGCAGTAAGTAATTGTATTGTAGTATTCGTTTACAATTTTTTCAATGTTGTTTTGATCAAGCTAAAACACGTCGAGTATTTTTTTAATCTTGGACGGTGACACCAAACAAAAAGCGAAGATTTACAAAATTTAAATTATGAGAACCTATTTACTTTTTGCTTAGTGATAACACGTGATGATAATTGAGTTATTAAGCAAACGTTTAAACGCTCATCTGATGTGAAAATGAGAATCATTTGAATACAACCATCAAAACTACTTATGCCTTATGAATACTAATAAAAAATACTATCACCTTATATATAAGAAAAAACCAATTACGTACTAAATTATTTCACGAAAAGTGTAAAATTTGTTAGCAACTATGAAAATATATTAACTGGTTGATATAATAAAATGAAATTCATTTCATATTTAATTCCATAGTGAATATAAAAGATTAAATATTGTCTTTAGTCAGTAATCCAATAATAAAATGAAAACGTTTAACCAAATTAATAAATTTGAACACGTGTTCTATGGTTTTGTTAAGTGAAATTTGTTAAAAACTAAGCAATATGACCATTTTATTTGTTTATTCTTTAGATTTTTTCTAAAATTTCACTAAGAAGGTGATTGATACTTTACAAATCTATAGTTTAGTATAGAGTGTACTTCAGAGTTTAGAAGAAATTACGTATTTGTATCTGTAATATTGGAGTATAAATATTTAATGCTTTTGGTTAAGATCATAAACCGGTTGATGTTAGACCACCATTGATAACCTAGAAGCACTGGACAACCGTTTCATCTGATCCAACTCACTAGTGACTAGCTTCGTGAAGGAATTCTTGCAGTTCTAGTGAGAAACAGTGACAAGTGGAGCTAATCCACGTGGAGAGTAGAGACAGATATCTACCTCAGTATAATGGAAGATGATCGCGCAATTTTGTGGATTATTTAAGGCTAGAGATTGACACCGTTGGATGTCGGCCGACTCATTGGTCTATAGGTTGAGCGTTCGCGCGCAAGATTGGAGGTTTTGGGCTCGAATTCCGTGAGCAGAATAGTGAATGTGGACTGGTGAGGAGTCCTACAATAGGACGAAATAGCCATCTATCACTTACAGGTTTTCAATGCCGGTCTAACATTAATCGGTTATTGATCTCAAAACTTAATAATCTCCATAACCCCATTCTGATAAATATTTTATGCCTTTGTTGTCATAGTGCATAGAAACCAAATATTTTGATACTGCATGTAGTAATACTTTTTTTAATATTTGGATTCTGCCAAGACTAGAAACCAGGGTATATGATTCATTCTATCTGAAAATAATTGGTTGAATATAATGTGTTCACATTTCAATATTCTAAA